TAATAAGCAGTAAAAAAGTTATCTTAAACAAAACTGATATGAATGTTTTTGAGGAAGTTGAATCTTCTTGGATGAGAGAGGGGGAGGGGGAAGAGAGGGAGAGAGAGCTAACGTGAAATTTTCTTTAATCCTCTTCGAAGAGCTTCCAATCTCCATTGCAACCCCTTCTATTTATAGAAGAATGAATCTACTAAGACAACAAGGTCCTAAGTATTAGTGCATAATAATAAACACAAATGTATTTTACAAAATGCTGACGTGGCAGTCATTACATGAATCATATTGTATCTATATATAACATGTCGGCAATGCTAATAAGATCAAGATTTACATTTCTTCATTTCGGTCTTTTCTACTGTTCTTCCCTGTTCTTGCTTTTGCTTTCTACATGGTATCAGACTGCGAAAGTTCCTGATCCTGTTCGCAATGTCGATCTCCGCCACATCATAGCTTCGAGACCATCCCGACGCTTATGGATCAAACGAAGCATTTCTTTCGCCCGCTCTGAAGTTCGTCGTCGCTAACCTCAAATCCATTGTCTCTGTTCAGCTAGCCGCCGACAATTACACAATCTGGCATGCACAGATCATCAAGATATTCAAGGCAAATCGCTTCGATAAGTACCTTGAATCTTTCTCTTCGACATCTACTGAGAATACTCAATCCGAGCGAAATTCTTCGTTGAATACCTCGGAAAATCTCACCAATCTTATAGATCAAAACCTATTCGCTGCATTTTGTTCAACAATCTCCCCCTCAATTCTTCCTTACGTTGTTCATCTTCAATCAACATTTGAAATCTTGTCCACCCTTGAATCAAGATTTCAATCTTCCAACGGGTCCAAAGTGATTCAACTAAATAACGCACTTCACCACATCTCTCTTAAGAATCAGACCTTAACGCAATATCTGTCTGGAATCAAGATCTTAGTTGATCAAATTGCTGCATCCGGTTCGTCAATAGACACGGAAGATGTGATCCTCTACATTCTGAATGGACTACCCATCTCCTACCAATCCTTTAAAACGGCAATCCGCATAATGTTGACTCCAATCACGCTCGATCAGTTATATGCGTTACTGTTAATTGAAGAGGTGAATCTTGCCTCTAATCTTCTTCGTCAATCACCTGATCCAAACACCACTCTCTTCTCTGCTCGCGATCGTGGACGGAGATATCAGGGTCGCAACAATCAAACTGCTTCCTCTGCTACCCGCACCACAGCGAACTCTACAGTCGTTTGTCAAATTTGCTCCAAGATGGGTCATCTTGCTCACAGTTGCTAGCATCGCATGGATCCCACATACACTCCATCGCAACAAACGAATCAGCCAACTGCTCTTGCCGCTATCTCAGACAGCACATACAACAACTGGTATCTTGATTCAGGGGCGACATCGCATCTGGCTCAATCGCTCGACAACATGAATGTTTCGGCTCTGTATCATGGACATGAGACGATCACAATAGGTGATGGGAGATCGGTAAACATAGCCAATTCCGGCACTGACGTGTTACCGACTCCCCCCCGTAAGTTAGATCTATTGAAAATATTTCATACACCTTTACTTGCTTATAATTTGATCTCCATTTCTCAACTTACTCGTGACAATAATATCTCAATAACATTTGATCCTCATGGTTTTGTTTTCAAGGACATGAAGACTCATCAAGTGTTGCTTCAAGGACCATGTAAAAATGGCCTCTATCCTATACAGGTTCCGTCCGCTCTCAGCAAAAATTTGGCGTTATCAACAACAACCACTCGGGCATCCTCTTGGAACGATAGGCTCGGCCATCCTAATGCAAGAACCATCTCCACTATTGCCAGAAGCAACCCGCACTTAAACATTAGCTTTTTCTTGTCTATCTTGTAAACAAACTAAAGGACACAAACTATGTTTTGATAAATCTTTTAATCGTCGTTCGTCTATTCTTTCCCTTATTCACTTAGATTTCTGGCGGCCTGCCCCAATAATGTCTGTACAAGGATATAGATACTACGTTTTGTTTGTAGACGACTTCTCTCGTTTTTCGTGAATTTTTCCGATGAGCTACAAATCCGAAGTTTATGAAATTTTCGTTCATTTCAAATCTTTTGTTGAAAATACACATCTAAAACTATTCAAGTTTTCAGGACCGATGGTGGCTCAGAATTTGTCAATCACAAATTTACTCAATTTCTTAGCAATCAAGGCATTCAGCACCAAGTGTCATGTCCATATACTCCGGAACAAAACGGAGTAGTAGAGAGGAAACATCGGCATATCATAGAAACAACAAGAACCTTGCTCAAAGCTGCGTCAATTCCGTATATGCACTGGCCAGAAACTGTTATTACAGCTATATACCTTATCAATAGAATGTCGTCACCAATAACCTCCAATCTCACGCCTTATGAACTATTTCATCAATACAAACCAGACTACACACATCTAAGAACATTTGGATGTGTGTGCTTTCCGTTATACCCTCCTCACTCTCACCACAAACTTCACACCAAATCCCCCTTATGCGTGTTTCTTGGTTATTCCGATAAGCACAAAGGTTACAGATGTTTAGACACGTCCACCAACAAAATTATAATCTCTCATAACATTACGTTTGAAGAAACCATGTTTCCTTTCAGTTTACTACCTTCACATCATATCAGCACCTCTCAAGATACTCCATCATCATTGCTCATTCCAACATCCAAAAAAACTACACCGCCAAACCGTGTACCTACCATACCAAGATCCATCATACAACCCACTCAAGATTCAACCAGCGTAACGCCAAACTTCTCTGAATCTCTACCTCAATATCCTACAATGTCGCCAGCTCCTCAACAAACTCGTCACCCTATGATTACCAGAAATCAAAAGGGAACTCTCAAACCGGTTAATAGATTAAACATCCTTCACGATACTTCGGTGCCATATGCAAGTCCCGCTCCATCCACCTATGCAGCGGCAGCTAAACACCGAGAATGGCGTGAGGCAATGAAATCTAAATTCCTCGCTCTACAACAGCGGGGAACCTGGAGTCTCGTAGAACAACCAAAAGGTGCTCTGGTTCTGGGATGTAAGTGGATCTACCGGATCAAACATCACTCAGACGGGTCTATAGCCAAGTACAAAGCTCGGCTCGTGGCACAGGGCAACCATCAAGAGTTTGGGCTGGACTACAACAAAACATTTAGTCTAGTCGTCAAACTACCTACGATTCGAGTCATGCAAATTCAACAACTCTACGTAGCAAAGGTGTTTCTCCACGACACTCTCTCCGAAACGGTTTACATGACTCAACCTAGAGACTTTGTGGACGATATTCATCCAAATCACGTTTTCCATCTTTACAAGGTCATTTACGGACTTCAACAAGCTCCACGACAATGGTATAACACATTCACGGAGTATCTCATCTCCATCGGGTTCAAACACAGCACGGCTGATCCTTCGTTACTTATCTTGCACAAACAAAACATTCATATTTTCTTGTTAATTTACATTGATGATATTTTACTAACTGGTAACGATTCCGCAGCTATCACCTCTGTTATTCATCAATTGACAAATCGGTTTTCCATGAAACAACTAAGAACAGTGAACGATTTTCTGGGCATCAAAATAAACAAAAGTTCCCATATGTATTTCCTATCTCAAAAGCATTATGCCGCATCTATTCTACAGCAAACACATCTAGAAAATTGCAAATCCTTGGCAAACCCGACGTGCACCAAATGCCTTCATTTTTTTCGCCGGATCTATACCTCTCGGATCAGCAATTATATCGCAAAATCACAGGCTAGCTGCAGTACTTAATCATTACTAGACCTGACATAGCCCTCAGCGTGAATCAATTTTCTCAGCATATATGCAGGATCCTCAACCACAACACATCTATCTCCTCAAACGCCTTCTACGATACATCAAAGGTACTATCTACTACGGTATCCCTATTACAAAGTCTAAACTAGTTCTTCAATCTTTTTCAGATGTCGATTGGGCCGATGACCCGAGCACTCGCAAATCAACGTCTAGATACTGCTCCTTCCTAGGGGACTCTCATCTCATGGACAGTGAAGAAACAACAGACAGTAGCTCGTTCCTCAACCGAGTCCGAGTACCGCGCCCTGGCTTCTTTAACATCGGACATAATTTGGCTTAGAAGGCTACTAGCTGATTTCGGTGTTCAACAACAACATCCAACGGATATGTTCTGCGACAATACTTCAGCAATTGCACTCGTCGACAATCCAATATTTCATGTCCGAACGAAACACATCGAGATAGATCAAAAGTTCATTCGAGATCACATCCAAAACAAACATGTCCGTCTTCTACCCATAAGCACAAACGACCAAATAGCCGATATCTTCACCAAGGCTCTATCTACTCCTCGATTTATCAACCTTCGCACCAAACTGAAAGTCATTCAATGTATTAGTGCATAATAATAAACACAAATGTATTTTACAAAATGCTGATCTGGCAGCCATTACATGAATCATATTGTATCTATATATAACCTGTCGGCAATGCTAATAAGATCAAGATTTACATTTCTTCATTTCGGTCTTTTCTACTATTCTTCCCTGTTCTTGCTTTTGCTTTCTACACTAAGGAACAAATAATCTAAAACTGGACGAATACCTAACAAAAGCCATAGTTTCTTCTTTCAATATTTTAATCAATTCTCTTATTTTATTGTTTCTTCAAGGCTTCAATGACATAAAATTGAAAGTTTCATAAATATCACCTGAAGTTCACGTACTTAGAGAGAAGACACAATGTTCACTTCACATCTTAGATCTACTATTTGAACAATTCAAGCATAAATTAGAGAAACAATAATTGCCAGCCCGACCAATGCCATATCTTAATGTTAGTCAAAGTAAAATTAGGATCGTAAATGCAATGAACCAAAGAGCCGTACCGTATCCAACAATGTCAGGCAAAATTTTAAAAATAGCTTTGTGTTAAAATAGAATTTAATTGAGTAATGATATATATACCGTTAGATCCATTAGCGGGTGCGGCAACCCGAACGAAGAGATCCTGCTGCCTGTCGTCCGCAGAGGATCTGAGATCTTTAATCTCCTTCATCCAAATAATGCATCCAAATCCTCCCCCGCCATTAAGATAGACGCTTGCATAAGCCGTACAGGAGCAATTCATCAAACACCTTGTCTTACACTCATCCAAGCCCAAGCTCATATTCGCCACCGCCTCCGTCGTATCCGGCAGCGTCATGCCGCGCACCACCAAGAACTCGTCGGTTCCGTTCTCGCTGCAGCCAAGCGCTGCCCCCCTAACGCACCCATCAGACCAATTTCCCTCGATCCAATTCACCGGATTCTTGGGATTAAATCCACCAAGACACTGACACATCGGCAAGCTGCTGGAATCGCATATCGCATTGGTTCCGCACGCCGGAAAGAAGTCGCAAGGATCACTTGGTGCGAACCAAATAAGATTCCAATTCTGAGACGATGCTTTCCATTGGTATATTCTGGCTACCCCTTTTTGATCCATGATCAGCGTAGAAATGGCGTCGCCGGTCGTGTTGTAGTAGAAAAAAATCTCCTCCGGAGTGGAGTTGAAGCCTTGGTTGAAGTATCTGTAGAGGTCGGTGGAGAATAATCCTTTAGGGCAGGCACCGGTGAAGGCGTAGCCGTTCCATGGCCCGCCGCGCCAGATCCAGCTTCCAGAGAGATCGCGGATGACCAGTTGGGGAACGCCGATGGTGTCGATCACTAAGGAATATTTCCCCGGCGATGGATCGGAGTTGCTCAGCCACGACGTGAGATTCCGATCGATGCCGATTTTCAGTTCCGGGCCAAGCTTCATCCCGGAGAGCAAGGTGTCGGTTGGGTAATCGAAACTCTGCCATAAGTGGGAGCTGGAATTCGAAGCTCTGATGACCAAATTACCGGTGTCGAGAAGTTGAGCGACGGGATTGGGAATGGAATTGGGGAAGGAAGGGGAAGACCAAAGAGGAGTGGAGTTGCCAGAAGTTATGAGATGGAGAGATGCGTCGTCGGCGATGATTGACAGTGTTGCGTTGATGTTGTGAATGGGATTCCGGCGATTGGCAACCCAGACGACGGTTTGAACAGCGAGATTGCGGTACCAAATGCCTATATAGCTGTTGGTGGTGTTTGGAGGGGTGAAGAAGCCGAGCGCAAAGGTTCCGTTTGCGGAGATGAGGGTTTCTCTATAGGAGAGTGGACAACACAGAGTCATAATTTCTTTTAAAAATTTTCTTGAATTATAATTTTTGTTTTAAAAAGTTGTTTTAGAAAGCTATGAAAAGCTTTTCCAAACGAAGCCTAAGATTAACTTGAGATAAGCTTGACTTTATTTATAATATATTTTGACCGATAAACTTTGAGCTCGCTCAATGGAAATAAGCTAGTCGTCGTAATTTTTGAGATAGACTGAATCAAAAGGCTCCATTCAAGCCAGCATATTTTCTTTGTTTTTTTACTTAATTTCAAATATTATATATTTTTTATTTTAGATTTCTATGCATTGTCTATGAAAATCCTCTAATGTGTAAATATTGTAAGAAATTAATGGAATGGGAGCTTTTGTTGTGTTAATTGTTTTCAAAACTTCGAAGTCCCATTCTATTTGGTGGTGGATGGTCAATTGGTCACTATGAAGGTTTATTAACTTTACAGACATGGGAAGAAATAAACAAAATCCACCAAGACACAGACATGGGAAGTGTGGTGGCTCTTTGTAGGCTCTACTTGTAGCCTGGTGGATTTTGTTTATTTCTTCTCTTACATGTTTCTTTTTCTAATATCTTCCTGCATGTTGGTTGGTTTGTTCGTCTGCCTCGTCGATCTGCTTTTGCCTGCTACTTCTAGCCCCGACTTGTTCTTCTGTTGGTTTTACTTTTCTTTCCTTTGTTTATTAATTACAATAGTTATGATCCATTGTGTGATGCCTCGGGATCTAATTTGGAAGAATTTTTTTTTTTTAATCTTTTAATAAACAACAATCAATTCTTCCAATAACCATACTTTGATACCAATTGTGATGTATAGAATTTAAATTGGAAGAATTATTCATTTATCCTTTAAATAATCAACAACTAGAGCTATCTAATGGCATCTATTAGTAATAAAAAGTATAATATATTCTACAATTTAAAACATCAGTTTACATATCTATTCATTCTCAAAAGTCATATACACTACTTAGGACTTACATAATCATCACATATCTATCATGTACTTAGTACAAAAGAATAACTAAAATAAAAAGAAATAGAACCTGAAGAACTCTGACCAGCCTCACACTCTTGCTCCTCTGTCCTGAACTGAAAACATTTAACCACATATAATAAACTTAAAAAATCCAGTAGGTCACCAAAACCTACAACTGAATTCAAAGCACGGTAAAGGAGTAATATGCATGTCTAATAGTCAAATCATAGAAGTTGCATCCATATGATCATTGAATCAGTATAGAAATAGTAAACTCACATGCAGTAGCAATAAAACCTGTAAACAATAAAACAGTATGATACAAAAGTCAATAAAGTGGTAAACCGGTACGGGAGGCAAATCTATAAAAAATAATTATATCCGTACATAAATCAGATAAAGCATCAAATCTAAATATCAATAAAACCTGCTAAAATATGTAAATATAGTAAAATTATATAATAGTGTACACATGATATCAAGTTATTTTATATCACATTCTCAGTATATCACATGCATAATATCAGTTCAGTGAATCATCAGTATCAAATTGTATTAGTATCTTTATCAATAACAGTAACAATCTAGTGACAGGAATAATAGAATAATGTAATAACAGTAAATCGGTGTAGTAACAATACATCTGTATAATAATAAAAATGATGCTTCAAAAACATGCATTTCAAGAGTCATACTAAACAAATAAGAAGTCATGACTATCACGATATTTTTCAGTGTTATATTAGTATCAGTAAATTGTTTGCTCAGTAAATAGAGTCGCCACTCTTTGCTCGTCTCACTACAAGCAACGATGGTGTTTGCTCGTTGCCTCGCTGTGAATAACCTTCTCTGTTTCGTGCGCTTCTTCGACAAAATCCCATATATACGCTGATCTGGGTTAAAACTGGGTCATGCTCAGGTTTCTAGGTCAACCCGAACCCAACCCGTTTCGGGTTCGGGTTGACCCAAACTCAAAATTTTCGTGTCGAGTTTTCGGGTCATGTTCAATATTGACATCCCTATTGAAGACAGGGAGGCTTGCCAGCAAAAGCAGAAAAACAATCAATAAAGCATTTTTTTTATTATTTTGATTTGCTTGCTTGATGTTACTTTGAAGGCTTCAACTAGTACTGCTTCTCGTATAAAAAGCAACTTATTGTGATGAAATTTTAAACTCAGTGTAATCAAGCTCATCCTAAAGAGAATCTTCTTCATATTATATAAAAGCCATTTTTCTACCAATTTTCTTTTTGTATTTGAATATATTATGAATAAAATTACTAACGAAGCAGAACTCATTATCAAGAACCATAATGTTCTTGGCCATATGCAACTCTTTGCTTTATTTGTCCTCTTTTTAAAGATCAAATTTATAATCTTCATCGTTTCATTTTTGGAGTTGAGTCAGAGCAAATAAAATTAAGCCAAGTCTACTCAAATTGAGGTTGCATAAGATTTCATTTGCATTAAATTTTTTCTTGAGTTCAAGAGAAAATTTAACTAATTACATATTTGATATTAATAATGTAAATTTATTAAAAAAAAAAATTAAATCAGCCCATTTAACTGATTTAAAAAAGTCCAAAATTTTATTCAAATTTCTTCAATTATGGTGTGAGTACCGAACCTTCCTCCCTCTTTGAAATCTCTAACAATTTGGGGGAAATGTCATCCAGAGTTAAAAGAACGCTATGGAGAGGATGGAGGCTCCGATAGGCACAAGATTGCTCACATTCCTAGTATCGATATAAGGCCTAAATAACACGTGTAAGGCTAAGATTAACAAAGTTAGGTCTTCTCTTTCTCAGCTGGTATTTTGGAGGGCTCAAATCCTTACAGTCTTCCTCCTTGGAAAGCTTATCTTCACTTCAGAGTCTATATATTTATGTTGTCCCTATGCTTCTGGAATATGTTTGTTTGAGTTGTATTTTGCTCTTTAAGCGGTGGCTGGTATCATTGTCTGCTGGCAAATTTTTTTTGTGTTCTTTGCATTCATGATTTTTCATTCATGTAGTGTATACTCTCTGTTGCTTAAATCCTCCATGTGAAGGAATTGTTGTTTACTTGCAAAAAAGATCAAATTTTCATTTCTTCATCTTATTGTTTGGTCATTTCCATTGTTTTGAGCCACTTAAATGATATTCATAGTTTGATTTTAATCTGATGAATAGCTTTCTTTGGTGCTAAATTCTTCTGATTTCTAATTTTATTTAGAAAATTTACTTGAGTTGATAGATTTGTTATGTTTTATAATTTACTTGATTAATCCTCAGCTAATTTTGAAGAGGCATCCACCCCAGAAATCGAGCACAAGTTGAAGGATTCACAACTATACTTGTTTACCAATCAAATTAAACATCGGCGGCTCATTAACAATTTTTTACATAGAGGTCTAAGGCTTCCATCAAATCCCCCTTTCTGAATAGTGTCAAAAAAGCCTATGGATCAAGTGGGCCTAAACCCTCCAATCAATAATTCTCTTTATGGAAACAGTTACATAGATAGATATAATGATTAGGGCTTTGCCTTAAAATTGCCATGAAAAAAAAAATATATAATGCATCTAAAAATTACTCCATTTGCTCAACTATCCTTCTTTCTTGGAGAGATTATTACGATCCGACTTCGAACACAGAGTCATTCGATTTTGTGATTGTGAATAGTAAAAACACAATTATTGTTCACCCCTATGCTTTTACAGTCCTTCGATCTTCATCGCCCAATTGCAGTCCTTAGACCACCACTGTTTGGCTATGATCTTTTAAACCTCCAACTGCAACTCTCTGACCGCTATTATCCTACTATTGTTCCCCCTCTCTCTCATATGTGTTTTTATGATCCTTAGTGTAAAATTAAGACATTAAACTCTTTATCTCTATGTCACGGTGAATGTTCAGACATGCAATAAATCTAAATTTTTTCAATCATAATTAAAATAAAAAAACAATTTTATGCCATCAATAATTACTTTGTGATGAATGAAATTATAAAATTTTAATTAGTTAAAAATTATACACTTTTAAAATAACTCCCATGGCTATAAAACTCCTTAATATAAATTAATATATTATAATCTAAAATTTTATTAAAATTAAACATCACTAACTGCAAGAACTATCCGTACCTTTATCACGTGGGGCGACTCGAACGTAAAGATCCTTCTCGCCGTTCGCATAGACTCTGAGATCCTTAATCTCCGTCATCCAAGTAATGCATCCATTTCCTCTGCTGCTAAGATCAGCGTTGGCATAGCCATTGCAGGAGCAATTCATCAAACACCTTGTCCGACACCCATCCAAGTCCAAGCTCATATTCGCCGCCGCCTCCATTGTGTCCGGCAGCTTCGCGGCGCGCACCACCATGAACTCATCGGTTCCATTCTTCCCGCAGCCAAGAGCCGCCTCTCTCACACACCCATTTGACCAATCTCCCACTGCTGCAATGACGCTTTCCATTCGTATCGTCTATCTGTCCCATTTTGATGCATTTTCACAGTGAAAATGGCGTCGCTGACCGTGTTGTAGTAGTAGTAAATCTCCTCCGGAGTGGAGATGAAGCGGGAGATGAACTCCTGGTAGAGGGCAAGATCGAAGAAATGTTCGGGATCGGCGCCGGAGAAGCCGAAGCCGTTCCATGGTCCGCCGCGCCAGATCCATCCGCCAGATGATTCGCGGATGACCAGTTGGTGAACACCGATCGGGTCGATCGCTAGGGCATATTTCCCCGGCGATGGATCAGATAAGCTCCGCCATGAGGTGAGATTG